TGTTCTGCAGTCCACGAGACCGTCTGTGTTGTGTCTGTCTGTAACTGCAACTTAATCAAGCTTTCCAGCCTACACCATTGCCATCTCGGTGTAAGTAAACAATCTTTTAAACTACCGATACGCGTCCGTGCCCAATTCCAGAGCGAAGGCCTTCCCTCTCCGCCCCCACGTGCCCGGGCTGCTGGCCACAGCCCGCGTGCAGCGCGAAAAAGGGCTCGGGGCGCTCCCGGCCCGCGCACTTACCTGGAACATAGCCCGGGTCCAGGTCACAGCAGCCTGCACCACTGTTTGCCCTGCACTCTGGCTGGCTATCAGAGCGTCTCTGTGGAAGAGCCAAGCTTTCAGTTGCCTGTCCCACTTTTTTCCCCCCAGGGTATTTTTTGATACCTGGATCTCCAAGTATCAAATTCTGACCCTGCACTGCAAATATGCAGTGCAGGAAATTTTTTTTGGTCCCAGCGTGCCTCTTGCAGCATCTCAAACTGATTTGGGACACTGCCACAGGCACATGCACACTGGGCTGGATGCACCCTTGGAATCCAAAATGCTACCATTATTAGTATTGTCCCCTGGCTACTAAACTTGCTTAAACCTTCTAAAGACTAACCCTGATACTAATACATGTTGTTAATTCCATAATTAAATTCCCATCTCTGCTAGAAATTCAGAAATAAAAAAGCCTTTTTGCTAAGAAAAGCAGAAGTGCTCCATTTCTCTCTGACTAAACATTGAAATAATTGCCATAACCATTAGAAAAGCTAAGAAGTATATCCAGCTGCATGCTACATATGCACCAATAAACCAGGATCTAACTAAACTGCAGTCAGGGGAGGATCCAGGGGGCATGGGGAGTGAGTGCAGTGGTGCAGTTGCACTCCCCTTTGATTTCTTCTCCATTCAAACTTTAAGACAAACTGCATGGGGGAGACAGCAGAATTTCTGTTCAGGCAGTACTGAGGGAGTCAAATGACTTCATGGCTCACTACAATGTACCTGATTCCTACTAATCTATCTTCACTCCACAAGCATTAGTGAACCTCTTTCCTTTTAAATGGTCTTGATTTCCATTAATCAAGTTATCCTTCCTTCTGCAATTTTGCTGTCTTTTAATTGTTCATGGTAATCTTTCTCTTCTACTTCATATGCCTGCAGACCATTTTTAGTTCTAGCTAAAACCCTTAAGTCAGACAGAAATATTGCTTAGGTGAACATTAACTCAGGTGTGGAAATTACTGACAATGAAGTGTTGGCTAAACTATCAAGATGCTCAAGGCTACATTTTGTTTAACAAATCTAAATAAGATGTACAATTAATTATAATGTCTGCAAGACTACTAAAACAGAATTTTTGGACTATTTTGGCTTAACTCATCTTGTTTTTTAAACTTAATATATAAGCTTGCATATTAGTATATATTCTAAAAATGTTATATTTGTTTTTGCTTTAATCTAGCTTTAATATAGCACTGGGTCTGCAGCACATTAGTAAATCTTTTAGTTTCTCTTTAACTGGAAAAAATACCTGTTGTGTTCAAAGTGATGCTGAACCACACCACCTGTACCACCCTTTTCAAAATCCTAGATCTGCCTATCACTGTAAGTATGCCTAAATACTAGTTATTCATTTCATACAAACCATCACCTTAAGGACAACAATGACTTTCACCTATGCAACTCACTAAAAGCAAAGAAGGCAGTCCCTCCTAGTTCAGTTTATAATCATGGACTCCATTCTACAGTCTTAGTACACTGTCATTACTTAATTGTCTCAACTATATGCTCCTTATGTTTTACCACTCAAGGTATTTTTTTTCCGTTCTTCCAGAAACTGACCCATTTGTTTTCATTGCATGATGCTATCAGGCAGACTGACCCATTTAAAATGGTTCAGACTGAGATTTATCAGACATTAATGTGATTTTGAAAAAACAAAAGGAAGAAACATTTAAAAGAGAACCATGTGCCAAAGCTGGGCAGTAATTCATGATGGTACAAGTCCAAGGATCAGTCTGCAATATAAACCACGTGTGTGGATAGAAAATAGCACAAAAACACACTCAAATTTGGAAATTAAAAAAATAAACAACCAAGGACAAATTAAACAATAGCTCAGAGCTGATTTCATCCCAGTCCAGCTGCTCAGATATTATCGGTTTCCCTCGCCAGCCACGGTTTTGCCAGCCACAGTTTTGAGTATCCACACTTAATATTCTATATACCATTTTGGCTACCATGGTATACAGTTTTGAGTAACCACGGTTTTCCATGCCCACGCATCAGCCTGCCACCTGCCATTTCAAACAACCCGCGCTCTTGCTAGCCACTTGTGGCGCTCCCATCTCCTCACTCACACAGTCTCGCATTGTGCTTCACACTATTAACCATCCAGTTGCAGGTACTCTGCATTTTTCTTCCAATTTCTTTGAGATTTTTGCATTTTGCCCTTAATCATGGCCTCTAAGCAAGTGAGTGGTGAAGGTGAGCAATTTGTGAAGAGAGCAAGGAAAGTGATGTCCTTGGAAACAAAAGGAGTTGTTGAATCATCTAGCACATGTAGAGAGTCTGGTGAATATAAACAATGATTTTTATACATTGTATGTTCCTTTATTATTCATATTCAAGTCCCATACCCTATTTTTCCCATAACCCTTTTGTCTTACCAACCACAGTTTTGCCATCCATGGAAACTTTCAGGAGCCTAACCCCCTCAGTTGGTGAGGGAAACCTGTAAATAGGTAACAAAGTCTATCTGCAATTGTTTTCTTTAACTTCTCCCTTTCCCCAAACAGATGCAAAAGGAGTTGTGAACCAAGGTAGTGCATGAAGTAGACACAGCCATCATCATCCAGCACTGAATTGAGGGAGAACAAGAAACCAGGGTTGGAGCACTTGTCAACCTGCAGTAGGAGAAGTCACAAGATGAGCTCTTTGAGTTTCAGCAGAAGATGAAAAATGATGCCCATGAGATCCAGAGGCTGTAGCTGTGGAAGATAATGAAAGGCTGATTTGGCTAATGAGATGACCATGTTGGTCAAATACAGGCCACACAAAGAAATATGACAAACAGAAGCTGAAGGCAGGGACTTTCTCTTTTTATTGCATGTGTAATTTTATAAAAAGAACTACCTAGATTTAATAACCTTTTGCCATACAGGAAACAGAAGGCTTCCCCACAATCATATTGTATGCTCACAATGCCCCCTACTGTCAAAAAAAGCACAGAGCAGACATTTCTATTAACCTGGAGCCATTCTGTTTTTCCACCAATGAAGCAATTTCCTCTCTCTGTTTCCTGGTATTTCTCAACAGTTCTAATGACTTCCCTCCAGTCTTCCAAACATTTGTTTCCAAGTCAGTACTGTTTCACTAGCTTTGAGAGTTATTCATCCGTCTTCTAATTAACAACATAAATATCTTGACATCTCTTCCAAATTTTTAATGCCAATTTCAAGTCACCTAAATGCAACTAACAGCATTCAATGTTCTATCAAACAGGGGTCAATTGTGTTTCACCCATATAGAAATCCTTTCTTGTTCTAAGGGCCTAGATCAAAAGAGCCATGATCTCAGAACAGACTTTAGGCACAACCATAACACAAACAAACAACAGTAAACTACACTCCACATATAGAGACTTTAATAGGAAACCAATACTCACTCTCAATCCATATGGCTTCATACAATAAGGCCAGGTTTGGTTTCACTATGAGCAGTTCACCAGGAAGAAGTGACCATGTTTGCATACGGCTGCAAGAACCAGACTCGAACACAAGACTGTGGTAAGAAGTGTCACTGCACATACTAAGGAACTGTGTTGCTTGAGTCCCACTGGAACCTGCAGAATCAGTTCCTTATTTACCTATGAAGAGACAGGTGGGTGTTAAACCTATATAATCATTACATTTTAACTGCTTCATATTTTCATTAGGTGTTATTTAAACAAGCATCATACTTGTTCATTCCATGCTTCTGAACAACCTCTGCTTCATTTAATAGCTCTGCTTGCTCAGGTTCTGTCACTAGTCATTTCAAAGGTTTTGCCTCTGCCCTGGTATTAAAATCCAGAAAGCAAACCTGAGAAGGCTGTTTCCCTACTTGCAGAGGTACACCCCAAGAATCCCCCAGCAAAGGATTCCCTGGACACACGCATCATGTTGCCACATCCCATCTTAAGACAATGGGCAACATCTGTGTCACCCAATAAAGCAAGCCAGTTGTGTCAGGATGCATCTCAGCACAGCTGATCCCATTCCAAGGACAATGTCTGTTTAGAGCCTAAAGGAATAAGCTTATGGAATGAAAGCTCAGCTATCAGAGACCACTAAAGGGAAAAAAAAGGAAGGTGTGTTCTTTTTTCACTTTTTATGATGCAGGAGAGCCTGAAAGACCTTTTAGCAAGAACAGTAATCATTTAAGACATGCCAAGAAGTCTTCCAACAAAACCAAAGAGCAAAGTTTGACATTCCTATTATTTCCCTGTTAAAAAGGGAGAGACTTCTTTTCCAAATAAAGTACAAGCCATAAAAAGATGCAAACTCTTTACCTTCTTCAAATTCTTTACCGATCACAGCCAGATTTCCTGAATACAACAAGTGTTTAAATCAGTGGTCTCAACCTTTTGGCCCACAGGCCAGATGAATGGGCCATAGCTGGTATGCATGACAGATGCAGCCCCACAGACACTGCCCCTCTGAGACTGGACCCCAGAGGGCCTGGCAACACCCCTTCCTGCTTGGATGGGACCCTGGGGGACACAGCACTGCCCCCTTCCAGCCTGGCAAACTAGGATTGAGCCTGAGAGGGCCTGGCAACACCCTCTTCCACTGGGATTGGGCCCCAGAAGCCTTGGCACCCTCCCCTCCCACATGCCAGGATGGGGCCCTGACACTGCCCCTCCAGCTGCCATCTGCCAGGATTGGACCCCATGGGCCTGGTGCCTCCCCCTCCTAGCCCCCGCACTGGGATTGGGCCCTGGGGCCCAACAGCAGTCCTGCACACTGGGATCAGGCAGCTGATTCAATATGCAGGGCCTGGGGCTCCCCATGGGTCTGAAAACTCGGCAATAAGGGAGCAGTGCCATTGCTCCCCCACTGCCAAATTTGTACTTGTGGGGAACCTCGCACACCAAATGACATGGTGCCATGGGCCAGATCTGCCCTGCAGGCTGGGGGCTGAACATCCCTGTTTTAAATTACTGATCAGGATTTGTCTCAGTTCACATTTTCTACAGTACTCCAGCCCTGCTGAGTCTCAAAGTCCCAGGTGGCTAGGGCTCATATCTAGACCTTGATAAAGGTGTAACAAAGAGAAATACATCATCCTCAGAGACATAGTTTATAGGGAGATATCCACATAGGCATGTATGGCTTTTCTCAGAGGTCATTTTCCCTGCAGTTGTTCAGACAAAGCATCAACCCAAGTACATTCACTATCTTCTACTCATTCCTCAAACTATTAGCAAAATCTTCATGCACACCAACAACTGTTGCATCCTTAGCTCCAAGTAAAGCACCACTAAAGCATCAGCAACAATGGCAGATTCCAACAAAGGATTCAGCACAAAGTCACTGAAATATGTATACAGAAGTGGCAACAATCACCAAGGAAGAGTAAAGGGAAGTCTCCAGGCATTACAGCAAGTTGGGCATGAGTGGATTTCAACCCTCATCCCAACTCCCCAACTCCACTGTTGCCAGGAGTCCAAAATATACTAGACACTATTAAGAACACACGTCAGCAGGTGAAATGAAGGCAGAACAGGTATCTTTCCTGCTTGGTGCAGGGGACTGGACCCTATGATTTTCCAAGGACCCTTCTGGCCTTACAATCTATGAATCTATGAACCAAGGAACTACATAATAAATATGAACTCACAGGCTTATACTTCACATTGTTCCAATGACAAGTGGACTCAGTTCTCACTGAACAGGGTGCTTCTACATGAGAATGCTTCCAACACTTCATTGGTGGGAAACCTAGGAAAAGCAGAAATATGCAACATCAAGAATCTGACTGAGGAGGAGCAACATGCTTTGCAAGTTCCATTCCCATGGGACTTTCATCTATCACAACAGCATGGTAAACCTTATTCACTAAAAGCCAAGGGAAAGAATATTACATGAAGGTCACTGACCGAACTGTACTGGGAAACCTGCAGATTCAAATGAGTACTGTCAGGTCCCCCCTGTGAATCCTAAGGCTCAGCATATTGGAAAGGAGGAACATAAGCAAGTGTTACCTTATTTTAATACATACCATATGCCCCCAAATAAAACATACACCTTGTTTTTGTGGTAAGGCTGAATTAAGAGAAAAATATTTTTCCAGTTATGGCCATATAGCGCAGGGACAGAGCCTCTTCTTCATCTCACCCACCTTCCCTTTTCTACTCAGGCAAAAACTACAGTTTTAACCCTTTCACAGCTGAAATGTCAGTGTCGCTTAGCTGCTCAGCTGAAACTGTAGCTGTTGCTGAAGTCCAAACTCCATGGATGGATATAGGATTTTGAATAGAGCCAAAAACAGAATGCAGGGCTGTGAAATAGGAGAAGAGAGACTACAAGCAGGTAAAAGACAGCAAAATCGCTGAATAACGGCTAGCTTGATTAGTGGAATCAAGCTAGCCTTAAAAAAAAGCAAGAGGATCATTAACATTTATACTGTTAAGTGAAAAGCAGTTAGGAATCAGGTGGAGCAGGAATCAAACTTTGGGTGGAGTAAGGATCAAAGTGCAACCAACCACTGTACCCTCTCTCAATTTGCCCCTGCTGGACTCCATCCCTCCCCCTCCATGCAGCTGCTGGAGAGAGGAGAAAGAAAAAAAAGCATCAGCCATTTTATAGCATCACCATGTTTCTATTTAGGACAGAAAAATCCACATCCCCACTTAAGACACAACTCAACCTTGGAAGGTTAATTTTTGAGGGGAAGATGCATGTATATGTAAGTATATATAGTAATTCAGTTCCCCTTTATTTGTGTAGATTTTGCCAGGCCCTGCATCAGTTGCAATGCAAGGGCACTTGTACATGTAGTAAAATGCCCTTGTACATGTAAGGAAATTGCCCCTTTTAGTGGTTGAATTGCCTTTTTTAACTATTTAATTGCATAACAGCATACACATTCGGCAGCACGTTATGATTAAATCCCATAACAGTGTATTCCTTTGGCAGCATATTTCGATTTAAATGACTTTTTTACGTAGCAAACTAACACACATCCCATGTATTTTTGTTTGCTACATAACAAATTACAGCTACATTCCTCATGTGTACAAGGGCCCTATCCAGAGAAGGCGACAGAGACAGTGCACAGGGCGCTGGAAGCGCATGGTGCTTGGGGAAGCTCAGGTTAGGCGGGCTTTCAGTACCCTGTGCACTGTCCCCACTGCCTTCTCCAACTGCCAGTGCACCCAGCTGCCTTTCTGCTGCCTTCCCAAGGCAGCCAGCCCGTTTCCAGGTGGTCCCAGGTGGCAGGAAGGCAGCAGAGAACAGTGCACAGGGTCCGAGTTTCCAGCACCCCATGCATCGATGAATCCGGCAGGTGCTGCTTGCGAGCTGGGGCTGCACCCACACAATTATCACCCCACCTGGGCAGCCCCTGGGGGTGCTGCCACAGTAGCAGCTCACATGGGCAGGATCACACAGGGCCTGATCTTTCCTTTTTGTTTCTCCTGGAGCCTGCCTGCATCTCCCACAGCTGGGGAGTGAGCCGCCAGCAGGACGCACAGCCCCTGAGCTCCACAATGCCGGCATCCCTCGGGCACCACCCATGAGCTGGCATCCCACCCAGTTTGTTCCAGGGGGCACTGCCACCATGGAGAGAAGTACCGGGGCCCCCCGCAGCTCAGAGCGCGCCGGCAGCTTGCCTGCCCCCAGCCACGGGAGTGGCAGGCAGACTCCAGCAGAAAAAACAAGGATCAGGCCCCTCACTGCTTTTTTCCCCCCCACCCCTGTCCTTCAGGAGAGCCTGCTCGCTCCATAGCAGGGGAAGGGGAAGGAGGGGGGTGGGGGGTGAGCTGATGGGGCCATTACTTCCATCACTGTGATGAAAATCCCTAAATTGAAACAGTGGTTTTTTAATCGACACAATTAAAAACCCACCAGTTAAAAGCCTACCTTTTCAATTTAGAGAGAACTAAACCCCCAGCACGTGTACAAGTGGCCCAAGGTACTGTGGAAACAGGGGGAGCAAACAGCTGACCATCAGGATTTATATAGGTTTTCGAAGAATCAAGTTGCCTACCAATAATCCTTGCTGAGAGAATGATATTGAGAGACCTAGCTCTCTTGAGGATGGAAGGTGATCACCCGGAGGTTGAAATGGTCATGCTACGATTTCAGACAGTTTAACAGCTAAATGTTAATGGGCTCAGGTGGCATTAATTCAAAAGTGTGTAAAACTTTTTTTTTACCCCATTCTCCTGTTGCTATTTTCTCCTTTTTAAAATAACTATTCAAATTTATCTCCACCACTGATCTGTCCCAAAAGACAACTATATGTCTGAATTTCAGACTGCACTGCCCATTCCCATTGAAAGAGGAGTTAGGAGAATTTCTCACTTTCAGGACAGCGGATCAGTATTTCAGGATTCTTCAGTGCAGCAGGCACTCTCCCATCATTCTCTGTTGGCCGGTGGTAACGACAGTGCACAGGCAATGTGGCTTGAAAGCAGTGAGTACATCGAGGCTCCGGTTTCATGTAAATGAAAACAACAAGGTCTGTGGCCAAGTATTCTGGAGCTTCCACATCAACAGCATCTGGAACTATAAGGGCCTGCAAGTGAGGGATTAGGGGGGTAAGGCACAATCACAATTCAGGTGAATGAATGTTATGCAAGACACACCGGTAGCAGTACAGAGAATGAACATGCATGGGACAATCCACCTGCTGAGGGGAGCCACTAGAATGTCCTGGCAGAGAAAGAGGGCAATTACCTCACTAGAAATTCTTATTGCTCGAGGTGACAAAGAAATGGGTCTAATTCAATCTTGCTGCCTCTACATACAATGATTACATCCCTGTGGTGTCTATGGATTTCAGTGGAACTACAAGCAAGACAAATTTGGACTGATGTTTTACATTCACTACCTTTCATATTACAGAGGTTCCAACAGAGGTTGGGACCTCACTGGGACTGTATGTTCATTTAGGAGGACACAGTCCTCTTCCCAAGCACCTTACTATCAAAATGGACAAGACAAATGCATGGTGGGAGGAAGGGAATAATCATTATTACGATGAGGCACACAGATCAAGTGACTTGTCAGAGATTGTATAGGGCAATTATAGCAAAGCCAAGAACAGCAAAGGTGTCTCACAAACCCCAATCCATCCATCCTCAGCTGAGATGGTTTAGAAAGGGATGATTATGGCACAAGCAGCTAGATTAGATAACTTCCCAAGGTCCTTTGCCACCCTACCTTTCCGATTCTAGAACACAACATTCCACCCTCCACAAAGGGGCTTCCATCTCAAAGGATTTCAAATACCCTATACATTTCATCTCATCCATGTGCTTAAATTCTTTGTTTTCCACATGATCCTGGATGAAGAACTAACTCAGCAGTTGGCATGTGAGAATAGGGAACTATTCAATTCAGGTTCAGATTTGGCCGATTTGGATGCCAGTGATTCGATTCAGAGCTCCAAATCGGTTTCTCGCTTCGATTTGGCCGAATCAGCTCCAAAGCTTCGGGGCCAGTTCAGAGATCTGCCCATAGGGTATGATGGGGACTCAATTAAATATCTATAACTTTGTTGGTTTTTGTCCAATTTAGAGGAAATGTGCACGGATGGTAGCCTCTGTGGAGAGCATGAAGCCTACACAGGGGTTTGAGGTAAACTGCACCCCAAATTCTTGAAAGCAAAACTCATGTCATGTGTATGTGTTAAGCCACAACAGGGTGAAAACTGCAGGGGTGGTGGCCCCTGGTGAGGCCACAAAGCCTGCCATGTGTTTCAGTGAGATAGGTGCAGGGGTTTGCAGGAAACTGCACCTCAAACTGCTGACAGGCAAAACTTGTAACATGGGTGACACTGTGTGTATTAAGGCGCAGCAGGGTGAAAGCTGCAGGCCTGCTAGCCCCTGCTGAGGCCAGAAAGCCTGCTAGCTGTTAAGGAGACAGGTTCAGGGGGGTTCAGGGGCCCTGCATCCCTAGCTGCTGACAGACAAAACTCATGACATGGGTGCTTGTGCAACTGTCTTTGTCTTGGGGCAGTTGATTGTCTGTATTGATTATTTCCTCTCCTTACTCTGTGGTTTTGTACGTGTTAAGCCTTGCTCATTAACTCATTATCTATTAGCTACTGTGTATTGAGCTGGTCCCTATGTGAATCATGATTGATTGGTAACACAGTAGCTTAGCAGCCAGGCCTGCAGTAGTCATGTGTCCCTGTCTCTGTCCCCCCACCCCATGTCCCAAGACAGACACAGTTGCACAAGCACCCATGTCACAAGTTTTGCCTGTCAGCAGCTAGAGGTCCAGGGCCCCAGAACCCCTGTACCTATCTCCTCGATAGCTGCCAGGCTTCCTGGCCTCAGCAGGGGCTAGCAGGCCTTCAGCTTTCACTCTGCTGCGCCTTAACTCACACAATGTCACCCATGTCACGAGTTTTGCTTGTCTGCAGCCTGAGGTGCAGTTTCCCCCAAACCCCTGCACCTATCTCCTTGAAACTTGGCAGGCTTTGTGACCTCAGCAAGAGCTACCAGCCCTGCAGTTTTCACCCCACTGTGGCCTAACACACACGTGACACAAGTTTTGCTTTCCGAACTTTGGGGTGCAGTTTCCCAGAAACTGATGGCCTCTCACATGCAATATGAGCCCAACCAATTATAAAGGATTTACATTTCTTCTAGAAACCACCCAAGGACCAACAGTTCTGGCAGATCTTCCAGAGCACCCTGCACCCCTAGGAGTAGGCTGAATGGGACAACCAAGGAGACTGCCCTGACACCATGGCGACATCAGTTCCTGAGGAGACTAGATCAGCCTTTCTTCAGTAGACTGCAAATAGCAGAGAGGTACAAAGAAAGCAGTGATGAAATAAAGGCTATGAAAGCTAAGCAGCTTGGATCTATTGTTTGATCATACAAATCCTCACCTAGGCTGATCCTTTGCTGCCTTGGTGCCTTTGCTGATGTTTCTACAGTGTGAAGGCAGAACACTCAGCAGAAATGCAATGCCTTCTCAACTACCCTTGCTCCCTCTTAACTTGGACAGGATTTGCCAGGCTGCTCAGCCATGCAAAACACATGCAGCTATGACATCCTCATGCAATTCAGAGTCTAAGGCTTCTTTTCTAGAAACCCTCCATGGTATATGAGGAAGCTGGTTGATGTTCGCCAGGAAGATAGGTTAAAAAATACAGTACTTTTATTCTTTTGTTTGTATATATTTTTTCCAGTTTCCATAAGGCCGTCATCCCCTCCCCTAATTATATTTCCAATGGGTACAAATATATAAACGGTCAAGTTCAAAGCAAACTCATCCACCAAATAATGGCTCCAATCTAAGTGCCCAGTACCAATTTGCACAAGTGGCACTGAGCAGGCTGAACTAAGAAAACATGCTATCACAGTACAGAGATCTTTTCCCAACACAAGGTAAGAAAAAGATTAAATATGACAGCCATTCCACAGCACTGAGCATCTCTTTTCCAGAGATAGAAAAATTAACTAGGAAAATGTTCATCTTGAATTTAGGGAAAAAGCAGCCCCCCTTCTGCCAAAAAGATATCTGTGTGGCCTAAAGGCTTCTCTGATTGTCAGAGAATAGATATTATTACAGATCATTCAGCCTAGAGTCACATACTAAAAAGCAGTTGAGATGATTGCTCATATGCAAAAAAAAAAAAAAAAAAAAAAAAAAGAATAATATTTGCTCTTCCGTGGCCTTAATTCAAAAAGCAGAGTTCTGTTTTGGGAGATGTAGGCCACACTGGAATGGTTCTGCTGACAGATGAAATTTTATCTTCACTCTAATGTATCAAGTCAGTTCCCGCCATTTCCCTCAAAGATTCACATCATGAAACGTTTCTTTTTTTTTTTTTAAATCAGACATTTTGCTTTATCCAGAAATCAGCTTTGCACATATGAATCACTGCCAAAAAACATGTCCCCTTACATGTTTTACCTCAGTTCGATTGTGCTGTTGTAATGATGCTAGCTCATTGGGGTCCACATAGAGTCCTGCTGGAAGCTGTTCTTTAATCGCCACACTGCAACATCCTATGTCCTCACCCACTGTTCCAAGTTCTACCTTTGTTAGTAGGTCTCTTTAAAAAAAAGCAGGTAAAAAAAAGAATGCACAAATTTCAGATGACTCTACGAAACTGTAGATAGATCACCTCAAACACACATAGATTAAATGTGCTTTTTTTAAAGTAAGTTCTAAGAATAGCAAAAATGTAATTTCTCTATACAGAGAGTTTGCCCTTCTCCATTTAGGGAACAATACTTTATTCTATTTCCTCATCTCTGACAATCAATATGACTACTTTATTTTTCAATTCCCCATTTACACACTATAAACTGTTTCAAAAGATACTAAATACATTTTACATGTTGGCCTCATGGTCTTACCCTGATGTAACTGATTAATGTCTGTGAAATATTTACACCCCGATCCTGCCAAAAATCATATACACAGCTAACTTTAATCATGAGTAATCTCAGTGCAGTGCCTGGGTTCAGTGGTACACACATCAGATGGAACCACTCAGAAACATACAGCGAGGAAGGCTGTAAAGTGGCACACTAGTAAACCGATGCATTATCTGAGCAACAGATTACAGTCAACTCACCTGTGAAATCCATCTTTGAGAACCTCTCGAGTCACAGTGATATCAGGACAAGTGGCCTGTGCATCTAGGACACAGAAAATAGGCATTTACAGTGATTACAGCATTGCCTACATTTTCACAACTACCATCCCATGACTTCTTTAAGAAGGTTCCAATAAGTCTGAACTTATTATGCATCTGAAGGCAGCAGCTGTTGAATCATTCATAAAATTAAGTGACAGGACTCACTATAAAGGGGTTTCTTTATTAGGTCACTAGACAAGCAGACAGAGCCCTATAATTCCCTCTGGTCCTCCAGCTTCCAGACTTAGTCCTCAGACATGCAAACAAATAAGTGCTTAAAATGAAGCATGTGTACAAGTTCTTGCAGGATTATAGTCTAACTAAACAACAGCCTGTGCTGCCTAATGTCTGTAAAGGATTCCAGATGTTCAACCCTAAACTAGACAGCTGTGGTCAAAACTGCTGACCACGCTACAATAATCAGCTGAAGAAAAGGCAAAAGCCCCCTAGGAATTACAGTACTTGTTTGTATATAAATCCAGTTAATTCTAATCATCTACTGATGCCTGATATCATATTATCAGACTAAATTTGTTTTTAAATTGTGCAAAACATATGGTCCACCATGAAGTATAACTCTTCTGGACCTTGAGCAATCCAACAGATTTATCCTAGTCTAGTCTTGATTTCTGTGATCGTTTTTGTAAGCATGCCTGTGTGTGCATGCTCATGTGGACACACATACAGCAAGAAACCACATGTATGTAGATGATACCCTGGTTTTGATTATATGAACATTTCAAACACCCCTAGTGATTAATTCCAACTGATGCTGTTCCAACAATATCTACACACACATGCAAAATCTTTCCTGTGAAATATGTGGGAAACAGTCACAACACCAGGAATCAGAAATTAATATTTACAGGACTGTATGCTTCCTTTTCACATGATTTTAGCATTCTTGAGTTATTCCAACATAAAAAAGAAGAGAGCTAATACAATTTTTTGAGACTGCCCCTATAACAGGCAGCATCTTTGGAGGCCATAGCAGCCATAGAAACTGTTACTTTATTTCCAATTTAGCTCAATATAGAAGCAGCATTATACATATAACTAAGAAGCAGAAGCATCTCCCTGGTTGCAAAAGGCTTAACAGAATATAGGTGAAATTTACTGCAGATGAAAGCACAATTAGCTCCACTAACTTCAAGCAGCAGCACCAGTTTAATCCAATACGTTTGGCTCTTTGTGTGCTCAAGCATTTTATTTCAGGAGAGACTGATTGGTCACAATATTCCTTTATACACAGTGCAAAAAGCTAGACAGCCTCTCTCACTTTTATTATGTCACAGCCTCTCTCATCCTGGGCATACAAATTACATTCCAACTGTTCAAACTACCAGATACTTAGATCAGGACTAGGCAACCTTTCCTGGCTCTCGGCCAGAATGCCCCACCCCAGGTCATAAGCCAGATGACCCAATCAAGACCCAACCAAGACCCAACCAATGCTTATCTCTGAAGTGACACAGGAGGAACACCCGCCACCAAAGCCCCATGTCCATGGACCAGATGCAGACCAAGGGCCATAGCTTGCCAACCCCTGATCCCCGTTTGTTCCTCCACTTGCTAAATAAACATATTGATGCTTTGAGCTGCTTTGCTTACACCAATGTCCTGCCAGGCAGAGCAGCCAGGTCACGCTGATTGGGAGGCTGCATTTCCAAGGGCCCCGCATCACACCTGCCAGCTCCACCTGCAACAAAAAAGACGCTGAGCAAAGGAACAGTCACAGAGCAGCAACAGCCTGCGATCACACACCCCTGCATGCACTTGGGCACATAAGTGACACAAATGCCTGCTGCGTCCCCACATCAGTAAAGACCACATCATCACTGGACCGAATAACAAGGCACGCAACGTCCAAGGCTCATTCACCTGCAACTCCACTAATGTCACAAGCACCATCGGCTGCTTACAATGCCTGTCTGCTGTCTACAAAGAGCAGGCAGGGCGATCTCTACGTGTAAAAAAGAATGAACACGGATCTGACATCAGCTGCAGAAAGACACAAAGGCCTGTGGCAGAACATTTCAACCGCCCTGGACGCTCCATCACTACCCTCAGGATTGCTCTTCTCAGGCTGCCAATTTTTTATGGGAAAACAGGCAGTTTGAATGAGAAACTGCAGAACAAGAAATCATCCACAGACTGGAGTGTGTTCAGCCTGGTTTAAACAGGGACTAGGGCTTATCTCGTTACTGGAATTAGCTTTTGTCACCCGCTTTGTTCCTACGGGTTTCCTGCTCCTTTGCTTTTCTCTCCCAGCCTTGACCGTCTCCCCAGTCCTTCTTTCTCTCCCCTCTCCCTTGCCTTCTCTATTGTAATGTCTCATACTGTACTCTGCTGCCTGCACAGCCTTCCACAGCACCTGACGAAGTCAACTTGGGGTCACGAATGCTTGTGCTATACACAAACACGCATGCGCACACACATAAAAACACATATACACACGCAAAAGCACATACATATACACACGTATTATATACATACGTGCGTACATAGGTATATATCAGGTATCCAGGTTGTAGCCGTATTGCTCTGGAGAAAAAGGCAATCAGGACTCAGAGAAGAGATGATATCTTTTATGAGACCAACAAGATTTTTGCAAAGAAGACTTTTTTTGCAAAAATCTTGTTGGTCTCATAAAAGATACCATCTCTACTACGAGCCCCGATTGCCATGTGTATATAGGTAACATGTATGTATGCATCACATGTGCGTGTGTTACTGAGCGGCCCCCGAGACGCGCTGTGCCCGGTGCGGGCTAGCGGGACGGCCCGGCTCTCAGAGCGCCCCCGCCGCCCCCCGGCTAGGCTCGGACCGCACCATTCTGAGCGGGGGGCCACGCAGACAGTAGAGAGCCCCCCGCCACTCCTTCCCCGCGCCCACAACCGCACTCACCGCCTCCTCGCGCAGAGGCCCCCATGGCAGCCCGCCGTAAATGCCTGATTTTAGACCAGCGGTTTCCCGCGCAGCGGAGCGCACCGAGGCCCGGCCACCCCGAGCGGCCTCTGTCCGAGGGTGGGGAGAGCGGTCGTCGGTCCTTCGCTACCGGTCAGGCAATGCACAGGGCAGCTCCGAGGGGGGCCTACGGCTGCCATGGTAACCGAGGGTGGCGGCGGCGCCAGGGTCTGTGTCCGGGGCTGCTCTGCTCGGTGCGTGTGCGCCTTCTGCGGGCCGCGGGGCGCCTGGGGCCGCGGGGTGAGGAGCGCGACTTCATCACGTACGTATCACGTGCGCACGCACATATGCCTACACACTATGCACAAGCACACGCGCGTGCACACATATATCTATGTATATTTGTGTGTGTATATGTATGTATGTATGTATGTGCATATATTAGAGCAGTGTTTCTCATCTAGCTGCCTTAGAAGCCCGGTGGGCCACGAGATGCTTTGAAGGGGGCTTCCAGGTGTGAGGAGATACTTACACAGATAAAGGCAGACGTAGGCTTGTCCCTGCCCCCAGCACCCACTGCCCAGGTTTTCTGCAAGGAGGGCAGCATGGCAGGATAATAGATTAGGTTTGAAATAGGGCTCCCCTCAATTTTCAAGAGTTACTGGGGGCACTTCCAGTCTCATGAGAGGTGCTTCGAGTCCTACAAGGGGTGTCTCAAGTCCCATGGAGGTGCCTCAAGTTCAAAAACAGCGAGAGCCTCTATATAAAAGACTCTCGACTTAAAAACATTTAAAATCTTTTCCATAATATTGTATTTTAACTATTACAAGGATACTTCAAATTCAGTCATTGTATCTCAGCTTTTATATATGACAAGTGAAAGATTAAAGGGGTTTCTCTTAATTTTCTTTTTCAGTTTGTTTATGTTGAGGCTGTTTCACTGTGTTCCTGCTTCCTATCTGATTTTGCAAAGGAAGTTCGTTTCTGGGCAAAGCTGATCATAGGGTCAGAGCTCTACAAAGCTAGATGCCATTCCTACAAACTTTTATCCATCTGCTTCACCTGAAACCTAGGATACACCCCATTGATTTGATTGGGACCGGTCATACATTTACAGTTGAACACATGCACGAGTATTTGTGGGATCAAAACCTTTTGTACTGTGGGTCTTTATATGGCAACAAGCAAGAAAAAAAGGTGGCAGGGGTTTAATTGAAAAGAGCTTTTGTAAAATCCCAAAATTGTCAGGAGGACTTGGTAACAAGCAGTACCTGAAACTACTTTTGACACGTTTCTCTGTATAAATTGGATTTAGAGATGACAGAACCCATCTAACAACATGACAGAGATTTACTGTTAGCTGCAGTAGCAGGGGTTTCTGATTTTTCTACTGGAGGAGCTGAAACTTAAGCCCCAAACTTTTTAACTGATCCAAATGGTCATGGATTTGTTACAATATCGTTACATTCATTTGTTGTTACATGATGTTTTCCATGTATTTTTAATAGAAACTATCTTTAGGCTATTATTTCATTGCCCAGTACCCTTCTTTTGCCTGTAGCACAAACACTGTAGTACGCATAGGATAATTGAACAGTCCAGATTCAGAAGTAAAGTAGTGACAAACCTGCAAATGAGCAGTAGGGTGTCATACTCATCAGCAGGGATCATGGTTTTCTCTGATAAAAAATCCCCAATTTTCAGATTTAAAAAAGTAACCTAAAATCCACATATTTTTGTGATTAAAATGAAATGGTGTTTCATTTTAATCATGGAAAAATGTGGATTTTGGGTTACTTTTTTTAATCTGAAAATTGGGGATTTTTTTTTTTTTCAGGGAAAACCAGGATCCCTGCTCACCACAGCCAGTTCAGCAAAGCACTTAAACCTTTAAGTCCTCTGAAGACAATGAGACTTACACACATTGTTATGTTCTTTGCAGCCAAGCCAGTTTCATTCACACTTTCCTTTCTTCTTTGCAGGGCATGCTGAAACATCCACCTTAGCAGAGCTCTCTAAGGTTTTACTTGAATCAGCTGGAAGCAAGAGCTGAGATGACCTGCACAGCAAAGAAATGCGGCATCCACTTTCAGCCCCCATCCATTATCGTCATCTACGAAGACCAAAACCAGGAGAAAACTCGCAAGCGCATCATGCCAATCCGAAACTTCTCCAAGTTTTCAGGTATGGTACATTTAATTTGAGCATCCCACGGGTCAGGGCTGTCGAACTGGCAGCCCTCAGGCCATACCCAAGGGTCACAGACTGCCAGTCCAGGCACCACTTCTGTTCTCCTGTTGCTGCTGCCAGAGTCTCCTGCCTGCACCCACCGTGGGAGCTGGGCAGAGTGGCACACACCCCCAGAGTGGCTGAAGAAGCCTACAGCTGGGGGAGATAGGATGAACCAGAGCCTCCTGCGGAGCCCAGAGGTGCCAGAGCAGGGGTCACCTGCTGTGCAGCAGAGGTCTGCTCAGCACAGCATGGTGCAGCAAGGGGATAGCACCCACACAGTGCAGCATGGTACAGTGTGGGGGGTGAGGGCAGACAGGAAACCTGTGCAGTGCAGGAGCACCCACACAGCATGCAGCCCCCCTACCACCACTGAGAAGTTGGACAGCCTTGCTGTAGGTCACTTCCCCAAAACAGCAAAGGGGAGAGTGGGTTGTTGACATGGTACTTCACTGAGTAGCGATAGGCTGCTTCTCACCAGCATTGCAGGAGAGTTTGTAGACTCCTTTTTGGAGATGGAATACCTAGCGCTGTCTAGCCTTGGGAGACCTGGAAGGCCACATCTCAAATGGAATAGTGGCACTCTGAGAGCAGGAGCATTCCCCCCAAGAGAAAGAGCTTTGACGAAACAGTATGTGTTGAAGTAGTACAGCCTCAAGCACTCCTTTGGGATCTTTTTTCAGATTGCAGCAGAGCTGCAGAACAACTGAAGAATAACCCTCGGCATAAGGCCTACCTGGAAAGTGTCTCATTGCGGCAGCTGCAGAAATTATACAGTTTGCTGAAAGGACACTTGAAGGGACAGAGTTTGGCCCAGAGTTTAGAACAGGTTCAGAGGGAAGAAGCCATTGACCCAGAAGAGGACATGAACAAGCTGGATGACAAGGAGCTGGCCAAAAGGAAAAGCATCATGGATGAGCTGTTTGAAAAGAATAGGAAGAAGAAGGATGACCCAGATTTCGTCTACAATGTTGAGGTTGTGTTCCCACAGGATGAACAGGTGGAATCCTGTGGCTGGGACGCAGAGTCAGATGAAGGGTTCTGACAGTGGACAAGGCTGCTTAGATGGGCATTGTGTTCAGAGAGCGCCAAATTACTTTATCTATATTACTGTATCAACCAGCAAAGCTATTTATAAAATACATCAGCGGTATACTTTATATTTGCAATTACAAAATCAATGCCAATGATGTTTAAACAGTTTGGTGCTTAAGACTGGTTAAATGGTGTTTAGGTGAAGCTTGATGAAAGAGACATTGAGAAGATATGAATTATTTATATTTCTAAAGAGAATCTGTGGATTTGTAACTATAAAGTGAAATGATTTTAAATCTCTTATTTTTTGTTCATATTTCAGTCAACTTTAGCAAGGAAACTAGACCGATCAGTTTTACTTCTTTATATTCAGTTTCACTTTGGTCTTTATAATATTACAGTTGTAAATCTTTACATTTGGCTCAGAAGGAAACAAGCAGCCTCTTTTGCACATATACACTATTTATTATTACTGGTGTGTTTATGTAATTTAATCTCTGCTCTGTGGACAAATCAATATTGCCATGCAAACCTTATTTCCAGATTTCCTGAGCTGTATTTAAATCTGTAACCTCAGTTTTGTATTACTGTATATTTTTTGTATTCAAGACACAAAATATTTGAAAAGCATGTTAATCTTGAAAGTACTGTTGGAAATGTGGTGCTTGAGAGTTTATACAAAGAGAATGATTTGCTCCCCGCGCCTGTCCAGTGACGCACTCTAGAGAAATGATCACCAGCTAGCTCTGCAGCAATCTGCCTTAAATTGTTTTTCTCAGGCTTGCTTTCTTTTCTTTTCTTTTTTTTTTTTTTTAAAGGGGGGAGGGGGGGAAATGATAAAGTCTTTAGCTCATTGTTATTCCAAAGCTGTTTTAAGCACTACTAGAGGGGAGCTCCTTGGGGTTGGGGCAAGGTGTTGTTCTGTACAACCATACTGCTAAAGACTTCCCAGACAGCAGTCTGCTTGCTGCAGAGAAATTTTTCCACCTAGGTGAGTATTTATCTAGCCCCAAGGCTTTCATTTGCATCACTTTCTACCTCTAAACTGCTTGGCATTACTTGATCCTAATTACTATGTTTTCTTGAGAACTTGGAAGATCAATGCTGGGAGTCTCTGGAAAATAATCCAACTCCAAAGTCTTCTTGGTACTGGATTTCCCCCAAGTTTGGGTATCTCCCATCTAGGAGTGAACAAGAAAATGGATGTTTGAGATGATCAGGAGAGGATTCACTCATTGTTTCAAGAACAAATTTATCCTTTTGCAACAAACTGAATTAAAACACAGCCAGTTTATTAACAAAACCTATAGAGCAACAGCTTAGGGGTACAGCAGTCTCTCTCATACATATGAAGCAAGAAAGCTGATTCAAGAGATTTTGATGAAGATATAAGATGCCGTGCAATATGAAACCAAACAAATAATGGACTGCATCCTATTTTAGATTCTGGGTTCCTCAACATGTCCTAAGGATATCAGTATTAGAGACAGAAGTAGCAGAAATCCATCATTGCAGCATTTTCCTCCCTGGAAGATAAAAATAAACTTCCGGGAGATCTACTAAAGATGAAAGTGAGCAGAATCACCTAGCCTTTACGACTGTCACACATTAGCCATTGCTATGACAAGAAGAGATTTCAGTTCAAAGTACTACCATTTTGGACTTGGGAGTTTGACATGGGTGTTCACAAATTGTCTGTCATCCCTCCTTTCTGATGAAGATGATATTTTTACAGTTGTCCAATCACCTCTGATTGCCAAAACCCCTTTGAAACATGGCTTTGAGCAAACAAGAAGGAGGAGCAATTAGAGCCACCAGAAAACTCCATAATCTAACTTACCATGCAATACAACCTTTAGTTCCAACTAG